GGCAGGTGGCCCAGGCAGGAGGCAGGCCATGCGGCCCAGACCAGGCGCTCCCAGCACTCCAAGGGAGGAAGGTCCCTTCTCCTCTGGAGTACAGAGAGCTTTGGAGTCAGACAGCCTCCTGCTCCAATCCACCTCTCCCTCTTCCTGGCTGGTTCCACCCCAAGATTTTGTGACCGTGACCTCAGCTCATCTTCAAGGGGTCACATGCCTCCTGGGTCCTGGCACGCGACCTGGTGGCCGGGTGTGGAACTCTGTTCCCTGCCCAGCCACAGCCTTCACTCCGCTACAGCCCCTCACCGGGTGGAGGGCATGAGACTGGTGTTGCCAGATCTGACCCCCACCCCGCATCCCAAATGGAATTTTCAGTGAAGTCACCTGGTTTCTGAAATGTTGGCTAGAAAGTTTAATAATACTGTGCGGGTATAAGGAGATTGGGGCCACCCGCTGGCAACCCCCCCCCTCTTCCCCCGCATACAGAGCACTCAGCCTGTAGCAAAGAGTGAATGGGTTCTCTCCCACCCCCACCCCCCATTTTGCCTAATCAGAGCCACCTCCCTGTTCCTGTCACTCCCCTGCCGTGTCCTCCCCAGATGTATCCTCTTGACCTTGTGTCTTCCTTTCTCTCTCTCACCCCTCCTTCTCTCTCCTCAGACGGCCCCCGGGCCTCTTCCCGAGACGAGGGTTCAATGGTGTGGGGGGCCGTGGGGGGGACACTGCTGGTGCTGCTGCTTCTGGCTGGGGGGGCCTTGGCCTTCATCCTGCTGAGGGTGAGGAGGAGGAGGAAGAGCCCGGGAGCGGCGGGAGGAGGACCAGAGAGCGGCCAGGGATCCTATGATCCGAAAACTCAAGTGTTTGAGAACGGAGGCCCCGTCTTCTGGACCACCACGGCCCCTGGGCCCCCGAGGCCGGACGGCAAGGACGAGGAGGAGGACTACGAGGAAGAGGAGGAGAAGGCAGAGAAAGGCCTCATGCTGCCTCCGTCCCCGGCACTCGAGGATGACATGGAGTCCCAGCTGGACGGCTCCCTCATCTCCCGGCGGGCGGTTTACGTGTGACCCCCAGACAGAGACAGAGACGAGCCTGCGGGGGCCGCGGGTGACGGACTGGTTGGACTCGTTTGTCTGGACGACACTGGAGCGCAAATGCTACCTCCCACTTTCCTGGGATTCAGAGGGGGTGGAATATCACACACTGGACTTCCGGCTCCAGGGCTGCACGGGGGAGGGGAAGGGGGACCCACAGCGGACCCCCCAGAGACTTGGTTTTGGCTCTGGCCTGCCCCAGCCCTGCCCTGTGACACTCAGGAGTTAATAAACTTGGAGGAAAAATCGGGGGTGTCTTGTAATACACTGGACCCCCTCCCTGGGGGGTCGGAAAGCGGAGTGGGAGGCTGGGGGGCTCTTTCTATCTGGGTCCTTGAAGGACACCTTGGGTGCGGAGACCCCGAGCCAGTGGGGTGGGATCTGGGCTTAGAGGCTGGAGGGCTTGGGCTTGAAGGTTCCAGCACTGAGGCTGCCTTCCCCGAGGCCAAGGGATCCCGGACCCCCGGGCGCTTGCCGAGGGTGCCATGGTCAGATTATCCGGGAGCAGTGCACACCCAACTCCCCGAGGTTGTGAGACCTGGGGAGGGGGCGCTGCCCCCGACGGGGCCCCCAGGAGGCAAGGCGGGCGTGGGTACTGAGGAACCAGGAAAGTCCCCCCTCTCCACCCGGAGAAGTGGCCTTTCCCAGCTTCCTTCCTCTTCCTTTTCCCTGGGGCCCAGCTACAGGGAATTTTCAGTGATTCAGAGGTAGGGGCTGTAGCTGCTGCATCACCACCTAATTCCCCTCAACCAGGACCTCTCCCCACCCCAGGCTGGGGACTGAGGTGGGGGGATGGGAGGGGGAGGGGTAAATCCCCGCCACCTCCGCTCCCTGGCCCCAGGGCCACTGCCACGGCCCTTGTCTCTGCTCCCGAGGCTGTCACTGGACTCAGTAGGCTCAGCTCCTCGGCCCGGTGGGGGCTGGGCGGCGGGGAAGGGCTTGGTGAGTTTACTTCTACCAGTTTTGACTTCCACTTAATTACTGGGGATGAAGCCCTGACGCGGGCAGACCTCACACGCAGTCAGGACGGCTGGAATAACAGTGATTTGAGGGTGGCTGGTGTGGACTGAGCGGCAATTACTCTGTTACCCTCCCACACGCAAGCCCTCCTGAGAGGGCCCAGCTGTGGAGCAGGCAGTGTGGTTCCTCTGGGGGCTGGATCTCATCTGTGGAGTGGGCTTCATGGGAGGGGTGGGGCCTGTGGGTGGGGCTTTTGCATTCTGGTTGCTTATCCGTCTAACACCCCCTCCAACCCCCACCCCCCTTCCCACCTAGAGGGCAGGGGCGGGGATTTTGTCCATCTGGCTATAGCAGGTCCCCAGCGCCCATGCCCACCCACCCTTACACATCTCGCAAGACCAGCCCGTCCCTCGGAACTCACAGCCTAGGGTAGACCTTGGCAGTCACACAAGCAATTACCCCAATAACAGCTTCAGGAAGTGCGAAGCGTGTTGCACAGGAAAGGCCCGTGAGGCCATGAGTTTCTCACTCGGCATTTCCTGTGGGGTCGGAGGAGCTCTGAGCCTCGGACCAGGGTGACTGCATTCCCTGTAATGACTGGTTGTGATCCTAACCCCAGGATCCCCCAGTTCTCTGCCTTGTAGCTCTACGTCCCTTCCCACCAGGTCCCTTCCCTCATCTCCCCGTGCACCCCCTCCTTCACTCTGCTCCTTGCTGTTCCTTAAAAACAGCACCAAGCTTCCTGCCCAGGGCCTTTGCACTGGCTGCCATTTCTGCCAGGATGTTCTCACCCTCTTCCCCCGCCCCCCCCATCACTCACCCGCTACAGCTCCTTCAGATCTTTGCTCAAGTGTCACCTTGCAGTACAACTCTCTGACTACCTGCTCTATCACTTCCCATCACCTTCCCCACTTTGCAGTTTTGTTTGTTTGTTTTTTAAAGATTCTTTATTTCTTTTTAGAGAGAGGAACGGGGAGAGAGAGAAAAATATTGATATAAAAACCAGACATTGGCCCTACCTGGTTTGGCTCAGTGGATAGAGCATCCGCCTGCGGACTGAAGGGTCCCGGGTTCCATTCCAGTCAAAGGCACATGCCCAGGCTGTGGGCTCAATCCCCAGTAGGGGGCGTGCAGGAGGCAGCCGATCAATGATTCTCTCTCATCATTGATGTTTCTCTCTCCCTCTTTCATTCTGAAATCAATAAAAATATATATTTTTTTAAATGTGAAGCTTTTTCAAAAACAAAATGTTGATCGGCTGCCTCCTGCAGGGCCCCTATCGGAGGGTTGAGCCCACAACATTTTGGTACGTGGGACTACACCCAACCAACTGAGCCATACCAGCCAGACCCACTATAGTTTTATCCTACATCACTTACGGGCATATTGTAGTTGTTTCTGTACTGTTGGTCTCCCTGCCCAACTAGAACATAAATTCTCTCGGGGTGGGGGCTTTTGTATGTTTTATTCACCACTCTATTCCACAAGGATAAGTTGAATGAAAGAATGTCCCCTGCCTTTGAGATAGGCAAGTGGATGATGACTTGGGCTGGGAGTAAGGAGCTGTGGCTTCCTCCTGGAGACCCCCTTACGCTGTCCCTCTTCTTGCAGAGTCCCCCAACACATCAGGTGCAGGAGCCACCGGTGGCATCATTGGGGGCATCATCGCTGCCATCATTGCTACCGCTGTGGTCGCCACGGGCATCCTCATCTGCCGGCAGCAGCGGAAGGAACAGAGGCTGCAGGTGGCAGAGGAGGAAGACGAGTAAGTGATGCACCCGAAGCAGTGGATGAGGGAAGGGTCCCAGAACTGGGGATCCTGCGGTGGGGGTAAAGGTGGGAGAAAACCATCGTAATGGCTCTGTGCAACAGACACCCCAAATAACTATAACTTAGGTAGGATAGAGAGGAGAGCTAGCTTCTGTCTCATAAATCATGGATAGGACAGCTCTGCTATGTGAAGTCGTCAGAGCCCAGCTCCTGCTAGCTTGTTGCTCCACCTTTATTCACATTTCAAAGGCTCCCCACTCTCCTGTCATTCTCGACATACTTCACAACCAGACATGGCTATCCTGGCCTCAAAGCCCCCGTTCCTGCCAGTGGGGAAAGGAAATGTAAATACAGGGTATTCCAAGCCTGGCTGGCATGGCTCAGTGGTTGAACGTCAACCTATGAGCCAGGAGGCCACAGTTTGATTCCCGGTCAGGCCACATGCCTGGGTTTCGGGCTCGATCCCCAGTGGAAGGTGTGCAGGAGGCAGCAATCAATGCCCTGTAACACACATCATCGATGTTTCTATCTCTCCTTCTCCCTTCCTCTCTAAAACCAATAAAAATATATTGTTTTAAAAAAGGAAAGAAATACAGGGTATTCAGTCACCCTTTAAGGAAATGCATCACTTCTCACTTCCATTGACCTGAACCTGTCACATGGCTGTCCCCAGCAGCAGGGCAAGCTAGGAAATGTAGTCTTTATTCTGGGTGGCCATGTGCCCAGCTAAAATCCTTATTAGTATGAGAAAGAAGGAGCCTGGATATTGGGGAAAACTAGCCACACTTCTCTGTGTAGAGCCCTTGTATGTGCCAGGCTTGACGAGATGTATTTGACATATGGAACCTCGACCAAGTCTCACATCCATGCAGCGATTCAACCAATATTCAAAAAGCAGCCACCCAGGACCAGGCTCTGGAGGGAAGAACGCAATGATGAGACAAACATTTAAAAAGTGTCCATACGTGGCTCAGTGGTTGAGGGTCGGCCTGTGAACCTGGGTTGCAGGCTCGATGCCCAGGAGGGGGTGTGCAGGAGGCTTCCAGTCAGTGATTCTCTCTCATTATGAATGTTTCTATCTCTCTCTCCCTTTCCCTTCTTCTCTCTGAAATCAATAAAAACGTATTTAAAAAAAATAAAATCAGGCCCTGTCCGCTTTGGCTCAGTGGATAGAGCGTCGGCCTGAGGATTGAATGGTCCCGGGTTCGATTCCAGTCAGGGGCATGTACCTTAGTTGCAGGCACATCCCCGGTGGGGAGTGTGCAGGAGGCAGCTGATCGATGTTTCTCTCTCATCGATGTTTCTAGCTCTCTATCCCTCTCCCTTTCTCTCTGTAAAAAAATCAATAAAATATATTTAAAAATAAAAAATAAAAAATCTATAAAAATAAAGTGTCCACACGCATACATATACCATGGAAACATAAATTATGAAATAACACGACTCAGTGGGGGAGTGGCATGGGAACACCTGGTAAAAATGCATATTCCTGGGCTTATGCCAAACCTACCACATCAGAACTTTCACAAGAAGGGTTCAGACTCTGTATAACAAGCTCCCTAAGTTATTCTGATGCACAAGATAGTGTGTGAACCACTGTCTTAATCATCTAGTCAAAGCGAAACAACACCTTGCAGTTCGTACCTCCTGCGCCCAGCCCAGCGCTGAGACGCAGTGGTGCCTGAGATGGCCCTGGCCCTGCCTCCCTGAACCCCAGTTCAGGGTCTGGAGGAGACAGACCGGCCCCAGGCAGTGATGGTGCAGCATGGCCAGGGATGAGCTAGGGAACCTACGGGAGCTGAGAGAAGCCAGAAGGTCATGGAAGGCTTCCTGGAGGAGGGGATATCTGAGTTAGTGTTTTTTGTGTTGGTTTATTTTTTTGTAATATTTGTATTGATTTTGAGAGAGAGAAGAAGGGAGAGAAAGAGAGAGAAAGGTTGATGAAAGAGTGAAACATCAGCCATAGCCAACTTGGCTCAGTGGATAAAGCGTGGGCCTGCGGACTGAAGGGTCCCAGGTTCGATTCCAGTCAAGGGCATGTACCTTGGTTGCGGGCACATCCCCAGTGGGGGGTGTGCAGGAGGCAGCTGATCAATGTTTCTCTATCATCGATGTTTCTAACTGTCCCTCTCCCTTCCTCTCTGTAAAAAAATCAATAAAAATATATTTTTTTAAAAAAGAGTGAAACATCAATCGGTTGCCTCCCGCATGCCTCCTACCGGGGAGAGAGCCCACAACCCAGGCATGTGCCCTGACCAGGAATCAAACCACCACCAAACAGAGCTGAGTTGGGTATTGAAGGCATAATAAGTGCCCATCATTGTTATGTATACAGGATGCTCTGATCCGTGGAGAGACATCAATGTGAGAGAGGACATTGATTTGTTGCCTTCCAAAGGTTCCTCAACCAGGCATCAAACCCGCAACCTAGGCATGTGCCCTGACCAGGAATTGAACCACCACCAGCCAGAGCTGAGTTGGGTATTGAAGGCATAAAAAATGCCCATCATTATGTATACAGGATGCTCTGGTCTGTGAGTACGTAGAAAGAGGGAACTTGACATAGTTTGGAGCAGCAGTCGCCAACCGGTGGTCCATGGCGACCACTGGTTTGGAGGATAGGAAAGCATTTCAATCCTTCATTCATTCTCTTAACAAATATTTACTGAATTCTTCATAGTGGGTTCTGGGAACACCATGTTGATCAAAGATCTCATTTTCTCCCTCACATGCTCATGGCTGGGTATAGTCATTGAGTGAAATAAGAAATAACATTTCAGCCCTGGCCAGTGTTGCTCAGTGGTTAAAGGGTACCTGGTTCGATTCCTGGACAAGGGCATGTACTTGGGTTGTGGGTTCACTCCCCACCCCCAGGAGGCTCCCCTCTACCCCAGGTCAGGTGTATGCAGGAGACAACCAGTCGCTGTGTCTCTCATATTGATGTTTCTCTCTCTCTCCCCCTCCCTCCCTTCCAATTGAGAAAAAAAAAATAACACTTCAAATACAAACTCAGTTAAGTGCCCTAAGAGGGAGGTGTACAACCAGATGTGACCACATCACAGGAGATTGTGATCCTCCTGGAGAGTCAGGGAGGCCTCCTGGAAGAAGATTCATGGGATGAGTAGGAGTTAGCTGGGCAAGGGGAATGGGGGAGGAGGGAGAAAGGGATATCAGGCAGAAGGAGGAGCTTGTGCAATGGCCCTAGGGTTGGGGGGCTTCTTAGGTCTAAGCCTCCACCTGTCTACCTCCTACCCTACAGCCTGGAGGGGCCTCCATCATACAAGCCACCAACCCCAAAGACAAAGCTGGAGGAGCCAGAGATGGTAAGCGCTTTGCCTGGAACCCAGGCCGCCCCCACCTTTCCCCAGGAAGGCCATGGTGGGGAGAGGGAGTTGGGGAAAAGAGGTGGGCTGGGCGGGGGGTCCTGACCTATCCCACCCCCTCCCACTGCAGCCCTCCCAGCTCTTCACTCTTGGGGCCTCAGAGCACAGCCCACTCAAGACCCCCTATTTTGATGCTGGCGTCTCATGTGCTGAGCAGGTAGGATCTCGGGCGAGGATGAGGCTGTGTACAGTCGCTGACATAGAGGTTAAGGATTAAAGGTCACAACTCAAATTCAGAGCTGTGTTTCTGATCAGAGCTTATGGCATCGAGCTGTGTTTACAATTCAGTGAGGGAGGTCATGACTGAAAAACTCTGAGGACATGAGGTTAGAGTTTAAAGTCAGTCCATGAAGATTGGTTGAACGTCCACATTGGCTCGATACTGTAAGACAAGACATAGAGTCCCATCAGCCATCTACTGGAAGTCAGGGGTCAGATACTGAAGTTGTAACCAGTCCAAGTTTAAGGGGCTGTTTCAGGCTTCAGGTTAAGGACTTGAGGTCAAGATTAAAGTCAAAGGTACATGGGGAAAGACTTAGGTCAGAAACCAAAAGACAAAGTAGAGACCCAGGGTTGACAGGGTAGGGTCCACCCTCGGGGCTTTGAATTAGGGACAAGCCATATGATTGACCCAGTGACAGGGGTAAGGTTGGGCCTCGTTGGCGTGGGGAGATGGTCGGGATTTTGGAGTCAAGGGGCAGATTGGGATTCCATGTCAAGCTCAGGAGTGACCTTGAGCTCCTATTCCCTCCCTGCCCCCAGGAAATGCCTCGGTACCATGAGCTGCCCACCTTGGAAGAGCGGCCGGGGCCCCTGCTCCTGGGGGCCATGAGTCTGGGGTCCCCCATCCTCGTGCCTCCAGGGCCGCCTGTTGTGGAGCGGGTGCCCCTGGATCTGGAGGACATGGATGACGATGAGGAAGACTACCTGGACAAGATCAACCCCATCTATGACGCCCTCTCCTACGCTAGTCCCTCTGATTCCTACCCAGGCAAAGGCTTTGTCATGTCCCGGGCCATGTATGTGTGAGCCGCCATGGCCCTGGCTCTTACCTCTCTTTTTCATCCCTCAAGTCGCTGCCAGGACTCTTGTGCCGCTTGACCTCTGGCCAAGCCACTGTCAGTGAACACACGCATCTCATCTGTGACTTTGATGTTGGTGGATCCCTTGTGACCTCTAACCCATTATCTCTGACCTAGAGAAACCGGCCATGACAATGGAAACCTGGCAACCTTATCTCATGAGTTGAGGGAGGGGAAATATGTTTCTGCACAATCCGACCCAAGGACTCCTAAAACTGACCTTAGTTCACGCCTCACATTCTGCAGTCTCCTCCCAAATTCCAAAGAAGACCCCAGACCTCTACTGTGTCCTTAGGTAGTCAACTCCCAATAGCTCTGCTGGGTTGGATGTTGGGGGGCAGGCACCTTGCTGCTCAGACCTGAGCCCTCCAGGCAGCAGAGCCCCACTTGCCCCCTCCCCACCCTGTCTGTTCCCCAATGGTGGGAAGGAGGGGAGTCCCCAGCCCAAGGCATAACTTCTCTGTCTCCCTCCTCCTGCAGGCAGGAGTCACAGGGTCCGGACCCTTCCCTGAGTCCCCACTTGCCCAAATCCTATCTTCAGGGAATTAAGCCCAGTCAAGGACTAGATAGGGTGAGTGTCATGCAGAGTGTGCCTTGCTGACCCCAGCCTTGAGAGAAGAATTTGTGTGTTACTTTGAAGACTACTAAGTCCTTTTACTGCTGTCCAGTGAAATGGGACCCAAATATCTCCCGGAGGTGGGGTAGGGGGAGGAGATGGTCACCTGGATTGGGGTAAGGGATCTGATATTGTTTTGTAAATAGGGCATTTCCTACCAATATGAATTTGTACTTTGACCAGATCTCAACTTGTGTATTCTGTGGGATGTGAATGGGGGGAGGGTGGAACATGATGATGGGTAATAAATAGGGGGCCCAGGACTTAAGGGAATCAGTAGATGAAGTCAAGATGGGTTACAGACAAAAATAAAAAAAGCCAAAGACATGACAAAAATAATCGAAGGGATAATGGCTAAATATGCATAAGCAAAAAAAAAATGTAATGATGGGTAATAGAAGGAGAGGGGGAGGAATCCAGGGCTTGTGGTTAATGAAAAGGAAGCAGTGAACAGCAGTCTAATCGACAGAAATAAACGGAACAGATATAAATGGTAGTAATCAAGTACGAGGGACTCGGGTTTAATGGATAAATGGCAAGTAAGAATAGACCAAAGTCAAAATTATGAATAATGTAATAAGAGCTCAGGACATGATGGGTAATAGATCTGGATGAATGAGCCAGAGGCAGACAGGGTGAATAAATGGAGAAATAGGGGCCGCAGGCATGCTAGATAATAGACCCAAAACATGATGGTTATTTAAGAAGGGCTAGCTAGAAGAACGATGGAAGTGCACGGGCAGAAATGTGCTAAAGGTAGTACAGGCAGTGGAACTGAAATGAATGGGACGGGGGCATGCTGGGTAATGGGACAAATGAATGGGCCAAAGATAGAAGCCGCAGTGACGCAGGTCCGGGGTGGGGGGGAGCGGGGGACAGAAGGCATGATGGGTAACGAGAGAGAGAGGTGGGTCTATGGCAACTGTCGCGTTAAACGGGGAAAGGGCATTGTGGGTAACAAGAAGCCGGCGAAGGTTCACACAGCCGGTTAGAATTCTCCCGACGCACTGTGGGAAGGGCCAGAACTTCCGGTTCTCGGTCGCTGACTCCGGACTGGGGACTGCCCCTCTGCCGCGGTGCCTGGTGGGACGCGAGGCCTGACCTTGCTGCCTAGCAGCCTCTGCCGCGCAACCCACCTTTACCCGTGTCCCTCGACCCTGCACGTTAGCCAATGAACGCACCAATCCGATTATGTCACAAGGGTGGAGAACCTGTGCCTGCTGAGCCAATCATAATGCTATAAGGACCAAAGCCGGCCAATTATCATGGCAACTTCTCCGCGGGGCAAAGTCGAAAGAGGCGTGCCTTCTGAAGAGGGGCGGAGGCGACGAGTCCGTGGGCGTTGCAAAGTGCTCAGCACAAACCAATGGTAAAGGAGCGCTGGAACCCGCGGCGTAGCAAACCAATAGGCACGGGTTCCACAAGTCAATGGGCAGGGCGGGCAGGTGTGCTTTGACCTGCTTGCGAGTGGGAGCCAATAAAAAAGGGCGTTCCGAAGAAATGGGTGGGGTTCTCATCCATGGCTCCAATAGCAGGGCCAGGCCCTGAAGCTGGTGGGCGGAACCTAGGGCATGTGGAACCAATAGGCCA